GCAGGAGTTTTTAGTGAGGTTCAACTCCCACATACCCCACCTGCCGCGCGGGTGGGGATCCGGCGATTTTCTCCTGTGGAGAAAAAAAAAAAAAAAAAAAGCTATTAGTCGGTAAACAGGATAGAAAATAATTATGTACTGATTTTTTTTCTTTTATAATAATGTTTTTTTTATTGCCGTATAGGCAGACGAGCATACGGTCCATCTGATGGTGACTGGTTACCGTCGCTCATGGACTTCAACAATGCCAGGAGCAGAGCCAAGCCGCTGCCTACCGTTAAGTACTTTCCACAAGCCTCGTCTGAAGAAGAACATGTGCTAGCGCTCGGGAAACACCGTGGAGGGGAGCTCATTCCAAAGCCAGATGGTACGTGATAAAAAAGATCTCTGGAAACGCACTGTGAATGAACGTAGTGGCTCCAGGTAGTATGGATGAACTCTACTCCGGTGGCGGGCGGTGCGATGGTAAAAACGAGACGATGGTATCATCTCATCATCATCATCATCATTTCTTTTTATTGTGTTTTCGATGTTTCGTGATTCTCTTTTCAAACTGCTTTTATATTGAATAAGAGACGACAGTTATATTATGTAACATAGATACAAAATTCTATTACATTAATAATAACTCCAAAATAATAATATCTATTGAATAATAAATTTACTTATCACAGTAAACAAGTATACCTTTTGAAAAGAACCGAGTTATTTATTTCGATCATTTTCGTGGTATCTTTTGATATTCTATTATTCTGTCAACGTCCCGACAACTCAATCACAATGGCTATTCCATTATATAAATCGACTACTTGTATGGAATCGCTTGCTCGGTCGCAATAAGTTGAACTAAAACATAAGTAGTCTTATTTTGTAACACTTCTATTAGCTTGACCTGTATCTGTGTGAACGGAATCTTTATAATACCTATGTAATTTTTACCAACTTCAAGACATCCAATTAACTTCAAACTTTTCACACGTATCAAGGGAGGATGATAATACTCGTGCTACGAGTATAATTATAATACATTAACCTCTTCATGGACGATTTTTTTAAGTACAAAAAGCATGAATATAATTAATTATTTGTTTCGATTTGTTCATTTTATATTGAAAACAATTCAATAAGTAAAAAAATTAATAAAGATAGTGACATTAAAAAAAATACACATACATACATAATACCTATATATTATCTATGTGGCCATTTGGCGTAGAAATAAAAATAAAAATAATTATAAAAAAACACAGACAATGTGCCAATTTTCCTGAATAGGTTAACCTATAATCCTGTTCAAATTCACACAAAAAAAAAAGTTTTTTTGTTTTTTTTTGTTTTAATCATGTTAGAAAATGTTTTTGGACTTATAACAATGTGTACTTGCTATTACTATATCAGACGCTTTGCAATGTAACTAATTATACTAATAATACACATGAAATAAATTTTAACCTCTTACACGTTGGGTCACTAATTTAAATTTCCTGGCAGGTGATGCTCGAATTCTGCGAGTCCACCATCTCGCAGAAGGAAACAGCGGAACGGGAGAGGCAGAGCTCGTTTTCCCTCTCCTGTTCCATGAAATAAAACATCATCCCGGCAAATCTTTCGATGTTTGATATTAAATGACCATTGCTTCAAGTCAGTAATTCTGTCTTACTGGTGATGGGACATATTTTAAGCTGGCACAGAAGACAACCACTACCCTGCCTGTTTCTTCAGCGAAGCAGTTGTGCATTCCGATTTGAAAGGTGAAACATTATTTATAAAATAGAATTCAGACATCTTTGGATGGGTGGCAGAATTAACGTTGTGATATGTATGGAGCTCCGGTAACCATCTATCATCAAGTGGACTCTGAGCTCGTTCACTCATTTAAGCGCTAGATCAAAGCTAGGTGTAGTATACAGTACGAAGTCAAGGTATACTTTTTATTATCGGACGCGAGAGCTTGGAACAATTGAATTTGGAACGTTTTTTCAAACTACCTTAATGGTGTCGTTAGCTTGACTATGCAATAAAACCCTTTCAAGACAGCTTCGACACAAAAACCCAATATCCTAAGAGATTAAAAACTGTAGCAGATTTTTAGAACTAACTTTTAAAATATATTGTTATACTCGTATTGTCTGAACCCAAATAAAAAAACAAAATTGAGGGTATCTTGTTTTGAATTAGGAATAACCTAAACGACATCATGTTTGTTTATCTTTTTGAAACGAACATAGCCTAGACCGATGGACTATGTCCTGCAAACAATGAGGTCTGATTGGGTAGCTCCCGGGCAGCAGGCACAACACGAACGTAGCCCGAGGGCTTGTGAATATCCGTCATCGAAATATGACGGCATATACGAAAATAGAATGTCTGGTGAGCCTTGTTTACTTATACCGGCGGACATATAGAACGGATTTCAATTAAAAGATGTTTGAACGGGGTCGTTCGAGTGTCGTCTATTAGGGTATTAAGTTTTTTACTTTTCTCTTTTTTTTCCTTTTTCCTGTCGTCTTCTTTAGTCTAGAAAAGTTCGTCTAGCGTCAAGTCTCCGCCTTAGTCTATGGCTTCTAGTCATTGTGGGTCATATGTCCAGTCAAAGAGGATGCACACCACGACAATATTGTTTAGTTGACATCCATTTTGTTTAATAAGGCGGTTGGTTTTCGTTAAGCATTATAAATCTTTTGGGCATTGATTTTACGGTTGAAAGTAATAGTGCCTAAGACTTATGTTTCAGTCAGAGTGATTGACAATACATGTTGTATTCTGTCTAAATTCGGATTACAATAAGCCAATTACCTATAATTATTAATTAGAATGTTGATAATTTCATTAAGCGTTTCTTAAGATTAGGAACAACGAAGATTAAACGTGAACCTTGGTGTGACCTTTGGGTTGGGGATCTCAATTACTAATTATTTCAAAATGGTTCCATAGAACCCTTCAATCGCGTGATCGAAGATCAGAGTGTCTCGAATGGCCTATAGATGTTGTCATTGGCGACATGGGCAAGTCTAGGCTTCTATTCATATTCTACGGCGTCTTTCATATAAGCTCTTCAAAGAACTAATAGAGCTGATCCTCCTTTTTTATTATTCCGTCATACCTTCCGATGCCGAAAGAAAATTCATAATCACGTTGCATAATGTGTTTATCGAAAGATTTTCCTTTCATTATTCGAGAAGGCATAGATCAAGCCTAAATATGGTGGTACAACGTTATTGCCCAATTTCGTGACTGCAAAATACATACATAGATATTACATTATAAAGTACCATTTGGATGGACCAACAAAGCTATTTTTCTAAAGCTCAACAAGAATCGACAGTGTCTTCCTGCACAGACTTCATCCTACAATTCAATGAAATGTTGTCAACTGATAGCATAGGCAGTTAAATGAATATGAATTTACGGGCTATCATTATTTGTCTCTGTAACAGAGAGAAAATAGAGTAGTCTGATACTGAGCTGATACTTATTTTTCAAGTGTTTGATTCACATGAAATGAAAGTTTTGAATTCATCGTCTAAAGGATTTATCGCTCGGTACATGTGGTTATGAAGGTATTTGGTCAGGGTGATCATTGAGTTCCAGTAGATCCAAACACAGACTATAAAGAATGTGGACAGTTCTGCTCCTAACATTTTACCCGCAGTCTTCAGTCTACTCGTGATCAAGGCGCTTGCAACAGGACATACCTATCGGGAACTCATTAGGTAAATGTTTATTCTTGGTAAGAACACGTTAAATAATAATGTGTATAAAACAAGGTTCGTTTTTCCTTTGAAGTTAACTGAGTTAGCCTACGATCTCGACAGGGCTACCCAATCCACGGGCTACGGCTCACAGCCCAGCTAAACGTGTTTATTCCCACCTCTCCTGGCTGAACCTTTGCTCGCCCACGTGTCCTGGTGAAACTGGATAGACTTCCAACAGCTATTTCTCAAACATAAAAAAACGATTTTTGTTATTGATGTCTATGGAGCGAGGAGTTAATGGAGCGAAAAGTCTATCTATAACTTATCCAAAGTTGCTCTCGACAACATCTTCAGAACAAAATAAAATAAAATTTGCTTCTAACACATGTTCATAAGCAACTTCTGCGTTAAAAGAATGACAACGTGTAAAAAATTAAATGGAACCCGCGAAAAGTTTACAAATGTAATTATTTCCTCTAGCGGGGTTCACCACAGACTGCTAGGCAAAATTATTAGGGTTTTAATACTGCCTAGTAGAAAGCCTAGACTTTCTCCACGTGCCCATGTCGCCAATGACAACATCTATAAGCCATTCGAGACACTCTGATCTTCGATCACGCGATTGAAGGGTTCCATTACTCTATGGCTTAATTTCTATCTTATTCGTGTGTATTCTTATTTGATTCTCAAAAAATCATGTAATCCAGTTTTAGCGCACGAGGAAATTAACAAAACCTGCTTTTACTCAACAACCCAACGGCGCATCTCTTCTCGGTGCCTCACATCACGGCTCATCAGTTTGACGTTTGTCAAGACGACCAGCGGTTCTCTAATCCCTCCCGCTTGGATAGGGCCGTTAATACTCCCGAGATACTCCGCTAGGTCAAAACCAGCAAAACAGAATCACTTCTTTTACACAATGAGTAGTTCAACCTTTTGAGCCGAATGCGATACAAATGATCCAAGGCAAAGTAAGGAATTAGTGAATTGATATCATTTCATTTCGTTCCATTACACTTTTTACATTGCTATTATATATTTGTGTTCCGGTAACTATTTGAGACAAGGTAAGCTGTGACTCACGAGCACATTCGCCCATATATGCATTACGAAATAGCTAAAAAAACATATCAATGATTGGTATCTGCAGATTTACGTAAGGGCTAAATAATACATAATCGGTAGACGCTTGAACTCTCAATATTTATTACATTTCAATTTTCGTTACTAGACTAATCACTTATGAATAATATTCCCTTTGCCTATTTAATGTCAGATTGACTGCAATCTGATTACTTTGATATTGACAGCAATGACAGCTAAGCATTCAAAGCAAATAGCTATTTTTGTGAAAAAATAATATTATTATTTTAAAATGAACGAAAATGATGATGAATTGACAACATTTTGTGATTCAACGGTGATTTCCGCTTATTTAGAATATATATGTGATATAATACCGTGAGATTAATTTATCATCTTTTTGTTTTAGTCATCGCTTGTTGAGGGATGCCGTCTTCCTGTTCGTATGCAAGGAGGAGACGACTGGCCACTCGCCGAAATTATAAGTATTAAAGAAGTTCAGGGCCAAAGAGGATTTTACGTGCATTATGTTGATTGTGAGTAAATAATGAACGGGTATGTTTGTTATTCATTTTGGAAAAATTGTGTGTAACATTGATAAGAAATTGACTGTGATGCTAGATTAGCAGCTAATTACCTATATCTATAAGCTTTAGTTTTGTTATATATATGGGAAATTTCTAAAATAAAGCTACTTACCTATGTTGAGACATTTTATACATTTATAACTAATGTGAGCTTGTTATCATATGTGTAATTGATAAACAATCTAGTAGATTGAACTTAAAGGATACTTAAACATGTTCTACAAAGGCACATGTCTAATTGAGATCTTAATTTAAAAAACCAAAGGGTGGTAAATGGACAAAAATCCAATTTAGTAGCAGAAAAAGCAAAGAACACTTGTGATAGGGTGTCTTGTAAGCTTGCATACGTATGTACTAACAGAATAAAAAGATTTTCTCCTGTTTTTCATGAAGTGCTTAATTTTTTTGAAATTAGACTTAAACATAAAATTGTTTTCAGTTAATAAACGTCTCGATGAATGGGTGGGTGAATCTTGGTTGGACACTCGTAAAGTCCAATTCCCTCGACGGGATGGAACAGCAACAGGTGGTACAACTACTCCAAAGAAAACACTCATTGGATCAGGAGGTGGCGTTATGCCTACTTTTATTAGTATGTGTCTTTGTTTTTAGAGCTTAATTAATTGTTATGGTCATTTCACTTAATTTTAAACAATTCAAAGTTCAACTTCACAGATAAAGAATGGGATTTGGTAATAAATTGCATGATTTATATTACTTTCTACTATTTTGCTATTTTTCCTCCACCCGACAGTTCATGTTGGACTGGATAAAAGCAGTAAAACAAATAGAGTCCAAACTTTAATGTGTTATAATTCTAGCTTTAGTTGATGTTGTCTTGAATGCTATAATTAATATAGTAGAATATATTTTTACTTTTATTTTGTTACTGTATAATTATTTGTTTTGCCCAGTACAATGTCTCGTGCCAAGTGTAGGTTAGTTTGTGTTACCAAAAATCCATGATCAACCAATTGGCAATAAAAACAAAATTTTGTCTGCAGATGACACAGTCTGCAATGAGAATCAGAAGTCTAGTAATGCTAGAACTATAACAAATCAACTGACCCAACCCAAAACACATGAAAAGGCCCATTTTAGCAATGCACTCAATGGTTCCGCACAAAAAAATGCACTTGGTAATGTACCATAATAATTTATTTTGTGTAATATGCTTTTATTTAGGTAGATATGTCATGCTTTTATTCTTAAAACAATAAATTTATTTTTTGTACTTTTAAACAGTAGCAGTAGTAGCTACTGGTATGTATAATGTCAGCTTCATTGATGTTATTCCGAATGATTGTTTAGTTGCCAACATATTATTCAACATGTCAACAGCTCAATAGCCATCAAGTTGTAAGCTTAGAAATAATAATAGTTTCTTGTTTCCTTTAAGCACGTTTGAAGCTCAGTTGTGAGAACCAGTAATACCATAGTCCATATATTGAATATGAATACTTTCTGTCATGGTAATATTTGATTAACATATAATGATCATGTTAGTAATTATTACCAATTAATGTGACAATTAAGCAATTTAGTATTTTCTTCGGTTTTCGCCAGTCGTAAATATAATTAAGGCTACTTTTACGCCTTAATGTCTTAACTGTGTATGACGAGTCATCCGTGACATAGAAAACAGTAAATTATTCATAACGACAGTAAAAAACGACAGATTAAACTGTAAAAATAGCAATTATAATGAAGCAATTGTTTAATTCTGGCGTTTATTTATTGAAAAAAATATTGAATTGAAAAAGAATATAATAATATAATTCTATTGACGTGAATCCCTATTAATGTGAAATGCTGCAGTATTGTGTCAAATTACTCTTAATTTAAAATACTACATTCCCGGTTTTCTGCACAGCTGTGGTTGAACCAAGACAGTTGGTGTCCCGACCTGCCAGTCCGACCCTGGTAAATGATTCGTCGTCACTGGTCAATGGAGGAGCTGTCCTCGCAGCAGCCTTACAGAAAAAGATGAACAGAAAACGCAAACCGCCCTCTTTGGATAATGACGTAAAATATCAATATTATTATTTTTTATTTATTTATTGCTTAGATGGGTGGACGAGCTCACAGCCCACCTGGTGTTAAGTGGTTACTGGAGCCAATAGACATCTACAACGTAAATGCGCCACCCACCTTGAGATATAAGTTCTAAGGTCTCAAGTATAGTTACAACGGCTGCCCCACCCTTCAAACCGAAACGCATTACTGCTTCACGGTAGAAATAGGCAGGGTGGTGGTACCCACCCGCGCGGACCCACAAGAGGTCCTACCACCAGTAATTACGCAAATTATAATTTTGCGAGTTTCACTTTTATTACACGATGTTATTCCTTCATCGTGGAAGTCAATCGTGAACATTTGTTGAGTACGAATTATCATCAGAAAAATTGGTACCCGCCTGCGGGATTCGAACACAGGTGCATCGCTCAACACGAATGCACTGGACGTCTTATAACCTTTAGGCCACGACGACTTCTTTGTCTATGTCTAGTCGTTGTAGGTCTTATGTCCTGTCAAAGAGGTTGCACGCCACGACACTATCAGAGGTAATGTTTGTCTCATATAGGTCAGTTTACATTCGGAGCCGTCACAAGAAGGTGAAGCGGACGCGACGGCCAGCGGCACGGCGACGCCGACGGCGCGCCCGCGACAGTCCGGCAGTCTGGTCGCGCACGGACACGACGATCTCGTCACGCGGATGAAGAACATCGAGATGATAGAACTGGGACGGCACAGGATACGACCTTGGTACTTCGCGCCCTACCCCCAGGTGAAATGCATTGTTAATTGATCGCTATCGGTTTTAAATATTATGCATTTTATAGAGAAGTCCGCTTTTCACTGTTGACCTCTGTGGGCTTTAGGAAGACCAGGTGTGCCGTAATTGTCTGTTGGACTAGAGCAGCGGCTTTCAACCTTTTTTAGCACTTCACATATTTAAATGCATAGTTTTTTTTTTTATTGCCCTTGGAGGCAGACGAGCACACGGCCCACATGATGGTGAGTGGTTACCGTCGCCCATGGACTTCAGCAATGCCAGGGGCAGAGCCGAGCCGCTGCCTACCGCTTAATACTCTCCACAACCCTCGTTTGAAGGACATGTCATAGCGCTCGGGAAACACCGTGGAGGGGAGCTCATTCCATAGCCATAAATAATAGTTGTAGGTATATTTATATACATATTTATTAAATTAAATATTAATATTCTACTAAACAAAGTTGTAAAGTTAATATGTTGTAGACAATTATATATCTCTGTCATATATACCGCAGAGATGCAATTCCTTTGGGTAACCTTAGATAAAATTGTCACATTTGTAAATCTTGCGACATACTTGGAATACCATGATCCAATGGTTGAGAACCACTGAACTGGAGCAATAAAAACTATTTTCGAGTTTAGTCATCTTTAGATATAATAATATATTAAAGCAGCTCAAAATACTTTTATTAGTGCTATCGAATTCTCGAGTAGTATTGATTTTATCACTGGTAATAAAACTATTTTAATAAATTTTAATAGTGGCATTAAATTTAAACCAGACATTTAATAACGAATTAAAATTATACTTTCAGGAAATGGTGAATCTCCCTTGCATATACATCTGTGAGTTCTGTTTGAAATATAGGAAAAGCAAAAAATGCCTCGAAAGACACTTGGTAAGAAACTTGTGTGTCGTTTTAATAACGATTAATCATATTGTATATATTAAAGTGTATTACCGACATCGCGCTTCCTAGGGAACTTTAAACTATTAATTAGATAAAAGTCTTCTGAAGTCGTCGTGGCCTAAAGGATAAAACGTCCAGTGCATTTATATCGAACGATGCGACCGTGCCGGTGTTCGAATCCCCCAGGCAGATGACAATTTTTCTAATTTTCTATTTAAATAAATTAACAAATTTTAATGTTCACAAATGCATGATGTTGCATGTTGCACGATGAAGGAATAACAGCGTGTTATATAAAAAAACAAACCCGAAAATAAATTATTTTCGCAATTACTGGTGGAAGGGCGTGTTGTAAGTCCGCACGTAAATAGTTACCATCACCCTTGAAGGGCTTGAAGGGTGGGGTAGTTTCTTGTACTATACAAAGAACTGAGACTTGGAACTCGTGTTTCAAGACGTGCATTTACGTTGTAAAAAAAAACTATGAAAACTGAAAACTTACATAATAATATTTACGTACTTATGTACTTTTTTTGAAGTCGTCGTGGCCTAAGGATAAGACGTCCGGTGCATTCGTGTTGAGCGATGCACCGGTGTTCGAATCTCAGGCGGGTACCAATTTTTCTAATGAAATTCGTACTCAACAAATGTTCACGATTGACTTCCACGGTGAAGGAATAACATCGTGTAATAAAAATCAAACCCGCAAAATTATAATTTGCGTAATTACTGGTGGTAGGACCGCTTGTGAGTCCGCGCGGGTAGGTAAAACCACCACGCTGCCTATTTCTGCCGTTACGCAGTAATGCGTTTCGGTTTGAAGGGTGGGGCAGCCGTTGTAACTATACTTGAGATCATAGAACTTATATCTCAAGGTGGGTGGCGCATTTACGTTGTAGATGTCTATGGGCTCCAGTAACCAATTGACACCAGGTGGGCTCTGAGCTCGTTCACACATCTAAGCAATAAAAAAAAAATTATGAATACTAGTGGTCTCGCAGTAGTCGAAATTCGACTATAATTGATTGAAATTGTATATTTCAACATCATTATGGTTTTATTGTCAAACATATTATTTTTCTATAATATAATCACAGATTTCGCCAAAACTACACTATAGATGAATAACATTAAAGACAAACAATATTAATCTATTCTCAATTAGACTACAAACTTTAAACAATAACAATAAACAATAAGTTTGACAATAAACAAAGAGTATATATTCGTATAGTGTTGGGTCAAATACATGGTAGTGTGTGTAATGTTTTTTTATTGATTTAATGTATTATGCATAATTTAAAAATAAATATCAGTCTTCACTCCTTCTCTATATTCTCTTATAAGTATTGGAAATTTCATACTCCTCCGTCCGCGCAATTTTCGTTAAAAGGGGTATAAGGTTTTTGCTCCACGTAATAATATATAGATGTAATTCTTATTTCCAGATCAAATGCAAACTAAAACATCCGCCGGGCAACGAGATTTACCGCAAAGGAAGCATATCGTTCTTCGAGATAGACGGACGCAAGAACAAATGCTACGCGCAGAACTTGTGTCTCTTAGCTAAATTATTTCTGGACCACAAAACCTTGTACTACGATACAGACCCTTTCCTGTTTTACGTCATGACTGAATTCGATTCCAGAGGTAATTATTTTGTTATACACTAGCTAGTGTTTTTCGTTCTTGTCGAACCCGTTGCTTGCGACGAAGGGCTCGGCGAGTAAGTTAATCCATAGACACAGCCCACTGAGTTTCTCGCCGGATATTCTCAGTGGGTCGCGTTTCCGATCCGGGGGTAGATTCTGCGAAGCACTGCTCTTGCTAGGGTTCGCGTTAGCAACGTCGTCAGGTTTGAGCCCCGTGAGCTCACCTACTTGTTAGGTTACGCTGATATAGCCTCTCAAGGCTATCAGCTTGGGTAGGAAAAAGAAAAGAAAGTGTTTTTTTATAAAGCTTGAAATCTAGTTGTTGTCATAAAAGGTAACAAAGAGATTCATCGACAAATGGCCGGCATTTCTGGTATGAATTATACCAACGTATCGAAACTTACTGGTCATAGGGCGCATTGTAAGATTTTGGCTCTGGTGATGAAAGCTCAACATCAAACTGCCCACCAACTTGTCTTATCGCAAATTCCTACAATTGACATCAGAGCCAAACGGTTGGATATTCTTAATTCATGAAGTAAAGCGATATTATTGATACTATTTTTGCTTTGTAAATAAACTTTAAGAATCCCCTCATGCTTTTATTTTCAGCATTAGACGAGTATACTTATTAACTTAATTGATCGTAGTAATCAGTTACTTTGAAATAGTTCACAATTGTTTTGACTCAAATGTTTTTTTGTCTTCTCAGGATTCCATATAGTGGGATATTTTTCGAAGGAAAAAGAAAGCACGGAAGACTACAACGTAGCATGTATACTGACACTGCCTCCGTACCAAAGAAAGGGCTATGGAAAATTACTCATAGAATTTAGTGAGTAATAATTTGCATTCAAATACTATAATTAAATTAATAACGCATATGATATCTCATATACATAGTATAAAGACATCCAAGTTAAAATTAAAATATCATCAACAAAATATCATCATATCATTTTTACTGGTGTTAGGACCTCTTGTGAGTACACGCGGGTAGGTACCACCACCCCGCCTATTTCTGCCGTGAAGCAGTAATGCATTTTGGTTTGAAGGCTGGGCTAGTCGTTGTATCTATACTGAAACCTTAGAACTTATATCTCAAGGTGGGTGGCGCATTTACGTTGTAGATGTCTATGGGCTCCAGTAACCAGGCGGACTGTGAGCTCGTCCACCCATCTAAGCAATAAGCAATAATTTACAAAATATTAAGCGAAGTGTTTTCTTTCAGGTTACGAATTGTCAAAGTTCGAAGGTAAAACAGGCTCTCCGGAGAAACCGCTGTCGGACCTAGGACTGTTATCATACAGAAGTTATTGGGCTCAAACCATACTCGATATATTATTGCACATCAAACCTGTAGGAGATAATGAAAAACCGGTCATTACCATAAAGTAAGTTAAAAACTACTACATACACGTATTATTACTTCAGCAACACTAAACCAAGACTTTTGGTTTAGTTAAACAAGAAGTTAAAAAAAACGATTCGGACACCGGAATCCCCTTGTATAGTAAGTAGCCCCTAATGATACAATCAAAGTTATTAAAAGTAGACAATACATACGAATTCGTCACGGTGATAATCAGTCGAAATTGTGACGCAATACCGTCAGATTAAAATCGCTAATAACTTCAAGATTAAAAATGCGTTAACAATAGCTGTAGGTGTCATGAATCTATCTACACTAATATATAAATCTAAATTGTTTTTTACGGATGTTCCGTTATAACTACTGAACTATGCGTCCGATTGACTTGAAACTTGGTATCCATGTAGAAAATACATGTACTTAATGGATAGGCTAATATTTATATGAGTGTTCGACTCCCTACACCAGTTGCGGGGGCGTTAATGATGAGAATGTTTGTGGGGGTGAGAAATAATAATGTTAATTTTAAATGCCCAGCGAAGCGGACGGGTACAGCTAGTAGTTTATATGTTAACGTGTTTGTGCCGCTTTTTTTATTGTTTCGGCGATGATGGCGTGATTGTATTGTTTCACCGTTAAAAACATTTAACTGTTGATGGTAATACCAAAATGAAACGCGTATGTCGCGTATTAAGCGAAATGTCGCTTAAACCAAATAACCTTTCACCCGTCGGTATAATATATAAATAGAACAGTTTTTTTTATTGCTTAGATGGGTGGACGAGCTCACTGCCCACCTGATTTTAAGTGGTTAGCGGAACCCTACATCTACAACGTAAACGCCGTCACCCACCTTGAGATATGAGTTCTAAGGTCTCAATATAGTTACAACAACTGCCCCATCCCTCAAACCTAAACGCATTACTGCTTCACGGCAGAAATAGGCGGGGTGGTAGTACCTACCCGTGCAGACTCACAAGAAGTCCTACCACCAGTAATTACGCAAATATAATTTTGCGGGTTTGTTTTTATTATACGATGTTATTCCTTCACCATGGAAGTCAATCGCGTGAACATTTGTTAAGCACGTATTTCATTAGAAAAATTGGTACCTGCCTGCGGGATTGGAACACCGTTGCATCGCTAGATACGTATGCATGATCGGACGTCTTATCATTTAGGCCACGACCGACTTGAAAATTAAACCACAATAGAAATTTTATTTGCGTCTTACATAAAATGTTTGTTTTAGTGAAATTTGCGAACTGACTAGTATTAAGAAGGAGGACGTGATCAGTACATTGCAGAATTTGAACCTCATCAACTACTACAAGGGACAGTACATTATCTCGGTCAACCAGGTTATCTATACCGTTAATTAATAATTATTTGTGATTCACTTAAATGGAAACAACGTTAAAATTTGATTTCAACTTAATGAAGAATCGAGTAGTTTAATTTAATAAATAAAAAAACACGTGTGGCACTCGGGGACTGCCGCGGTAAAGCTATTGCATAGCATTTTTTAATAACTCATGCAATTATAATTAGACAATAATAATTTAATATTAAAACAACAATAAAATAAGAACACGCTATATTTATAAACATTAACAAAAGCAAAACATTAACTGTCCCCTTCACACTCATAAGCTAGACCGCGCGAGAGAGAGATGGGCAGACTTCATGATGCGCATGCAGTGCGACGTCATGTCGCGCGCTTATTGACAAACACTACACAAGCGCAACGCGTGAATGTTGAACGCGAGTAACATGGTAGGCGGAGTGGGGGGGGGGGCGTTGTAATGTTTTATTTTCGTTACGAAATTTCTTGATTCGGTCGTCGCGCTCAAAGCCCGCGATGACAGCTATGCAATAGCTTAAAAATTACGTTAATTTTATCGTTATTATAACTCAAATTAAATCGGGTGTAGATTAGTTTTTTAAAATATATAAATATACATATAATGGGAAAAATATTTTTTTATTTATATTTCCGAAAGCAACGTTATCTCCATTTAAGTGTAAAAATAAAAGTACTCCCATGATCTGATATTTCTTATCAACAATTAGGAAACTCTTCAGCAACACGAGAAAGCAATGGAAAAACGTATGCTAAGAATCGATCCAAAATGCTTACACTGGACTCCAAAAGATTGGTCGAAACGGGCGAAATGGTAAGTGGATTTAAATAAAAAATAATATAACCAACCTTAGTAATTTCGGATCGTAGAAATAAATCTGTGAATGTGTGTTATTGTTTATCATTTGAATTATCTACTTATATATTCTTTATTATTTTATTTAACACACACAGACACAAAAACAATAAATACTTCTCCAATTATATTTTAATATTTTCATTTAAATCGATGATTGCATATTTTTTGATAATCTTTGTAAACTATTTATCAATTGTGGATTTATTATTCACCAGTCCAGTTTTGACTATGTATTCTGATGTTTATTTTTTTCTTTTTGTCACAGTGTTTGAAGTGATAATAATGGAGACGAGAGCTATCTAACTCAAGCTTCGACACGTATGCAACCCGTTCATTTTGTATCTAACTAATAATAATATTGTTTTTTTAATGGCTCGATACTAACATTGCTTGGGACTCTCATAACACATCTTAACAATGTTTGCACGTTTTTTTTTTATTTCACTTTGTCTTGTGTAGATTCATAGTTCATTTTGGGTTTTTTTTTTGTTTTCTTTTTTTATTTTTATTTTAGTAATAGGCTAGATGACTGATTTTTATAAATGTTTCGTATAAATCCAGTTTAACTAAGGAAATGATATTTAGTAGTAGTGGTTGTAAGCTTTTTAATTGTATGCTAGACAGAGAGAGCACTATCGAAAGATATGACGTCACATGTGATATGGCGTTACATGTGTTCAACAGTCCGGTAGGTGGAATTCAGACTATCTCTCAACTGAAATAAATCTGTATGATCGGTTTTTTTTGGCTCCTTATCTTAATTGCTTTGATTTAACCCTTGAGAGGCATGTTGTTTTAAACAAATAAAACGAACAATAACGCAGGTTTTTTTTTTTAATCCTTCTAAGTTTGTAGATTTCAATAACAATAATAATATACAATATAAGCGTAAGTAGTCAAGTTTTGGATTTTGTTATAGCGTAGGATACAAATGTTTCCAAAGAGCCCAGGGTTTCTTTTTTAAATGGTGATGCTTTTCTTTTCCTCAATCTCCTTGCTTTGAACCGTTAACATACCTGACCCTGCGGACCAAACGGTAAACAGTCGCCCTCGCCGTAAACACGTCACTTCGGGTCCTCCCGATCCACTTTTCGGCAGGCCAAGATCGGTGCCTTTAGGCATTTCAAGTACCGGTCACCGATATCGTTGAATCCGTCGAACACGACGAAGAGCTTAACCCACAGACATAGCCCACTGAGTTTTCCGCCGGACCCTTTCAGTGGATCGCGATTCCGATCCGGTGCTAGATTCAGCGAATCACTGCCCTTGCTCACACGTCATTATGGATCCTACCGATCCATTAACGGTACTTTTAGGTACCACAAGCACCGTTCACCGTCCTCCTCGAAACCCTCGCTTGCGACGAAGGGCTCGACGAGCGAATTAACCCACAGACACAGCCCACTGAGTTTCTCGCCGGATATTCTCAGTGGGTCGCGTTTCCGATCCGGTGGTAGATTCAGCGAAGCACTGCTCTTGCTAGACCCAGTGTTGTTAACACGTTCAATGAAGCTGGTACAACCCCCGATATAGAAGCATAGATAGGGAAAAAACCCGTTAATAAACAAAAGATCAGTCAACTACCCTATTGCATAGAACGTAAGGTGTAATTTTCATCGATCGCACCGCTTAAAACAAACATTGACTAATATCAAATGTTCCTTAATAATTAGCACAGGGAAGCGTAATCTTTAAGTGTTATTTTGTCAAACATACTCTAAACTTATATGGCCTAGTGGATTTACGACGCAAAATACATAAATAAATAGAATATCGTTAAGATTTTTTTATTTTAAAATCACAAAAATACGGGCGGTCAAATCCTAAAACTTTGTACACATACTTATTAATACTCAACGTTCGAATCGTGATTAATTAAATTGAATAATAAATAAATAAACTTAAGTATGTATTGAAAATAGGAATATAGTGTTGCAATTGGTTAATAAAGTTTCTATGGGAAAGTAAATACATATATTAGATACATCGAAGTGGTCTGAAGCGATTTCCGGGGTCAATAGACGTCAAAACCTCACAACACCGTTGCCGCCATCCACCTTGAGACAGAAGGCGAACTCTCAATTGTACCAATCGTACCCTAACTCTTTAAGTCTAAACGTAAGACGGTAGATAATGTTTTTAATGCCATTATGGTTGCAGAACATACGACCCACTTGTTGGTTAATGGTTACTGTTGCTTATGGTCGTCTAAAATGCCAGCGAAACCGCTATACTCTTTGCAAACGTCTTTTGACTCAGAAAGCACCTAGGAAGGAAGTACGTGACAATCGGATGGTACGTGGCAGAAAAGATCTCTGTAAACGTACTGTGAATGACCGCAGCGGTTCTAGGTAGTGTGGATGTGCTCTGCTCCGGTGGTAGGCGGTGCTATGGTAAAAGTGAGATGATGAGATCATCTCAAACAGTTTCTCTGAGCACTCCCCATGGAACATACGGATTAAAACACACAGAACCGAAGTCCCTCCCTAGACCCAGAACTATGATATGTATATACTAACTGTAGTCCCACAATTTCACTCAAGTGAATGTCGTAACGAAGGCATGTTGCTATCTATAGCTTTGTTCGAGACGTGGTGAAAGTATCAATTTCGTAAATTATTCATCGACGCGCCTTTTTTATTATTACGAATATAAATTTTATATAATGTTTAACATCGAATTATTCCAACTCCGCATTGATATATAGAGGTTTGACAGAATAACACAGGTTATACGTAACGGCGGACGTAACGTAACTAATTTTCATATAAACAGCATAATCTGTACAGATCCAATCACATTTTATCATGACATTCTAATCTGACCGCTTCCTGGCACATAACGTTTGAAGATTAAACATAATTATGTTTACCATGCGATTAATTTACTGTTTTATTTTAGGTGAAGATACGCACTTCAATCATCGGAATGTAACAGAAGATACTGAATTATTAAATTAATTGTATTTGTATCCGATAACTTTCTGTTTAATAAACAGGACTTTAATCTTCATGGGTTTTTTTTTAATTAATTTCCCCAATTTCACTATAATTTCGTCAGTAAATATGCCTTTAATAAATACCAATTTCGTGATGGCATTTATGTAGTCAAGTTAATAAAATATATTTATCATAATAAATAAAAAGAAAAATGTTTTTTTTTTTAAATAATATATACATAATTTACGTTGGACATGCAACAAATAAAAAGCAGACATTGCCAACTAAAATGTAGCTTTCAAAATAAAAAGCAACTAAAAATGTAGCTTTCAGAATAAAAAGCACGCTCTAGTAGCTAGCCAAACAAAAAAATGTTGAGCGTGCAGCAACTTGGTGCACGTGAATGAAGAGAAACTTGTTTTGCCGTATGTAATATTATGCTTTTCTTCATTTTTCATACTTAAATCCAATTTATCTTGTACTAGGGAATGCTGTGTACAACAGAAACTAACTTGACCATTTATTTTTAAAGGGTTTTTCAATAGGGACGCTCGAACTTTGACAGCTCATAGCGGCCATCTTGGTAAAGTGATAGCTGTCATATTTAGCAAGAACACATATTTAGTCTTAGTCGTCGGGATAAGACGTCCGGTGCGTTGGTATCTAGCGATGCACCGGTGTTCGAATCCCACAGGCGGGTACCAATTTTTCTAATGAAATACGTACTTCACAAATGTTCACAATTGACTTCTACGGTGAAGGAATAACATCGTATAATAAAAATCAAACCCGCAAAATTATAATTTGCGTATTTACTGGTGGTAGTAAACATTTTGTCTTCCACCTTCAACCGCTACAACATGTATTTAAAGAGGTTCGCGAGATTCGGAAATCAAACATATTCAATATGGAATAATATGATTTATTCTCGATATATAAGCACAATAATTTTGCTTTGACTGTCAAAATATCTATATAATTAGGTAAGTATTCAAGAAGCAGGTACAAATAATGTTTACAACACTTACGTAAACTATCTTCCAACATTTTATGAAATTTAACGTTTATACCAATAACAGACAGCCGAATAAGTTAATACAGAAATCACTTTGTGACATAAAATTTCAAAAAAATTTCGTAGTTACCTAAATTTATAAAAATCAAAGCGTAGTTAGTACAGCGTAGTAATAAAAAGACTTAACAACGTAATATAAGTTGAAGATTATAGATACAGAATGGTAAAATCTTAACTATTAATAACAATCGTTAAATAAATGGTGGATAATACTAAATCTTTACTTCTTACAACCAAATTATAATGTATTTATGAAATTCCTCAAAAAATAGGAAAATTAAAAATACAGGGAACTTGTGATCGACATTCATATGAAACACATATTTCATTCAATAAGTCTTTAACAGTAATGAAATTAAGAAAAATAACACATTGATTTCAAGTTACGAGCAATAGTGATGGATTAAAAAACAAAGTAACCATTCTTCATATTCCGAAACTATACCTTCTAAAGTTAATCTTAAACATAAGATTACTACGACGGTACAATCAAACTACAAAAGCTAATAACTTCTAGAAATTTCCATTGACATAGACAAATCAGTCCCGTACAAGTTTGCAACGTAGTTCGACAAAACAGTACAACTACAGAAGTGTAGAGCGATAATACCGACACGATAATCCAATGACAATTTACGAAAAAAATGTCTAATATCTTAAGACACTTCATACTACGTGATGAGACTATATGCCTATTAGTCGTTATCGTGTCGATTTTTGAAAGAAAAAGGCTATCTTAGGTTGATGTCTTAATATATGTCTGAATTACAGGCATGGTGATTTATACAAGTCAAAATTTAAATCCGATAACATAATATATCAGCGCCAAATTTTCGGTAGAACTATGTCTCAAAAGCGTCAACAAATGTCCTTATTATGTAAGGATTCATGTTACATAAACATGGGAGACTCGGCAATCTTGTTGTACAAGAAATAACAAAGTTATTGTGCTCTGCGTTAATAAATAATGTATTTTTATCACAACAACAAGACCAACAGTACAAAAATAAATGCTAACGCGACTGACCGTACGCTACGATGGTAAGGCCGCATGGACTAGGATCACTGGTTGCAAAGGCACGTTTCAGGGATCGAATCCTGAATAAATTTTTTTTAACTGACTTTTCATCCTACTCATTTTTGTTCGTTTTATTATCTGCCCGAGGAAGACAACGTACAAACCCTTATTATTACGTCTACGACTTTATATTAGATTGCTATCTTTTGGGTTAAATCGTTAAAAAAAGTAACACGTAAACGTATTATCTTTCATAACAAAATATAAATTTTACAATGTTTTGCGGGATAATTCGATACTGCACATCGCAAGCTCGAAAAACTATATAAGTATCAACTGTACACATATATGTATGAAGGCCATTAAATTCAGTCCTTTCTTTCTTTCACATTCACGATGTATAAGAATAACAATTGTTTCAATAATTCATAATCGAGTTTATTAAAATATGGAATCTTAAAAGTAATAATGGATACCGCCTCTATAAATTAGTAATCAACATTATAATGCTTAAAACAAATATTATATCACGATTTATCCTGAGTTAAAGCACCTTAATCTATAAACTATCTTACATGCAATAACGAATTTATATTCTGGAATTATAAAATATAAAATAATATGAATCTGTAACAAAACTATTACGATTTGGAATCTTAACAGGAGGTATTCAAAATGTTTTTGTACTAAACATTTAAACTATATACAATATTTATGTGATGCTATTTTTATAAATGTATTCCTTGATTTGGGCGTTTCTTTTTTCTTTATTTTCCTTAGACTAGAACTACGTTATGCGTCTAAGATTTCAATAGAAGGCAGTAAATTTAATATTCCATAAATCGATAGTGATAAAAAAAACACCAACTACTCGTACACTAAATTGCACCATACAAAAATAATCAGATCTTTCAAAAACCAAACATTTTAAAACGAATCAAAGCAAAATTATAGAACTTGAAAGAAATTAAAACAAACATGGTAATTGTTAGGTTTTAACATCTAAATAATATATTTTAATGGACCTACCTAAAGAACTGTTTCACAGCTCACATCTGAATGTTATAAGACAGTAAATGTGACTTCNACTAAATTGCACCATACAAAAATAATCAGATCTTTCAAAAACCAAACATTTTAAAACGAATCAAAGCAAAATTATAGAACTTGAAAGAAATTAAAACAAACATGGTAATTGTTAGGTTTTAACATCTAAATAATATATTTTAATGGACCTACCTAAAGAACTGTTTCACAGCTCACATCTGAATGTTATAAGACAGTAAATGTGACTTCTCACAACGCGTTTTAACAATAAACAAATCTCATTTCAATGCTTTAGTGTTGAAATTAGAAGCACCTTGAATTTTACACAAAAACATCTTATTTCTTACGACAAAAAAATCGCAGTTATAACAGGCATCACACTAACTCTACATTGTTGCTCTACACAGTAGACATACGAATGCGTTTCGAAATAAATTCTCCGTCCATTTAACTTTTATGTTTTTGTTATTTACGAGATAAAACGGTTTTATTGACAACAATTTTAATGAACTATGTAATAGAACGTCTATTATGACTTATTTACGGCACATGACACACTGATGAATGGTAAATATCAATTTTTACGATCAATTCACGTCACTACCAGATTATGTGATTTTTCGTGCGACACTTTTTAGTATATAAAAGAAGACAAGGCGAATTACAATTAAACGGTGATACTCTATTTCGAATTTTATATCCAAAGCTTAAAATATACGTATACGTGTCGAAAGAAATTTTGGACCCGACAAAAATGAACTGTGATCGACGGATGTGTCCGAAACTAAACGAGACACCCATCGTTCAGGCCGTTGTTGATTTTAGTCTGCGCATCTGCAGCCGATCCGGGATAAGTATGGCACTGTTGATTGCTCGCCAAGTTATAATTCACATCAGGATCGTAGTATTCCTGCTCTGCGTCAATCGGAATGAGGAGGTTCGTGGCTTTGGGCAGGAACCCGTCTGTGGTCACGAAATTGGGATCCGAGGTTGGAGTTAGGCTAAGGACGCTGTCGGGCCTGTTGTATTCTTGTTCAATCAACTGCTGCGCCGGGTAAATAGAGTCCAGCGATGAAATCGTGTCCACCGAAGAATCACCTATCGGCGTAGCGCAAGTGTAACTTGATGCGAGTATGTTCGCGGACTCGGGTCGGATGTATGGCGAGTGTGCTTCAAACGAAGAGGGGAATGTTGATGGAGAATCGTAAGAACGAATCATGTTGTACTGCATTGTAGGCGATTGCCTCGTGGTTGAATTGTTCTTGACACACGAAGCGGCGTGCAGCGACAGCATGTCAATCAACTGCCGCTTCTGAACTTCCAAATCCTATAACAATATTTATTAACTGTCACACATCTGCTTGAATTTTATCAAGTGTCCTTATCGGGCTTTCTATAGCAAGCGCAATTAACATTAATGAGTGGTTACTTGACTTTACCGTTATCAGTGACTGCTAGCGTCACGGCTGATAAAATAATTCGATGCACCGAAATGTTTCCACCTAAATTACCTTGAGCGGATACGTGTTTGTAAAAAAAATCATTTTGTCCGTTCTCCCTAGAGGAAATTAATGTGTTCGATGTGATTTGTTATTGTTTTCTTTGACTTTAGGCAGACGAGCATACAATCCACCTGATCGTAAGTAGTCTTTGTGGCTCGTGGACATCAGCAATACCAGGGGCACAGCCAAGTCGCTGACCAAGCCAAAGTTTGGGAGCTCTGACCCAGAAATGAAAGAGGTACTTTGCAAACCAGAAGCTGTCCAGGCTTTAAGTACTGCTTTGCTTTTAAGTCGTAGAACGTAGAAGTTACAAAATTAATACCGGATATTTCATACGACTGATTAGATTTAGATACATTTTATTTGAACATAAATAAACATTCGACAAACAAAATATATTTGAAGTAGTGAGTAATAAGATGTATTGTTAATATAATCTAAATAAAAAAGTAGTACCTTCAGTTGTGCTTTGAGATCAATATTCTGGTTTTCGAGGACCTCGCTCTCCGTGACCAAGTTGACGGTTCTCTCCCGTTTCTTCATTCTGCATTTTGTAGCCGCGATTTTATTCCGTTCTCTTCTACGCCGCCTCCGTTCTTCGTCTTCCGGTGTTAGCTATGAAAAAAAAAAAACGAGACCATGAGATATTTTTGAAAGAAGATCTATATGACAACTAAAATTGGTTTGGGGAAGATCGCTCTCTGACTTTTTTTTTTTTATTGCTTAGATATGTGAACGAGCTCACAGCCCACCTGGTGTTAAGTGGTTACTGGAGCCCGTAGACATCTACAACGCAAATGCGCCACCCACCTTGAGATATAAGTTCTAAGGTCTCAGTATAGTTACAACGGCTACCCCACCCTTCTGATAGAGATAAACTGTCGATTCTATATAACAATTCCACTATCAAAACGCGATGGAAATGATCGTTAAGACAGTACTGGTTAAATTAAATTTGTAAAACCGAACGTATTCAAATAGACTCCTTGCAGCCTACCCACGTAATCGATATGCATATAATTTCTCAATGCCAAAGCCTTTCAAATTCAGGAAGTGAAGTGCCTGCCATGTCTACATTTGCGATGCCTTCTTCGTCGGCTCGTAAAACTTCAATCGAACCGTTGAATTATGAATGCAACAGTCCACCAGTATTAGCAATCATTCGTGCATAGTTACAGGTTTTCCTTTAAGCCGTGGCACCTCATTTTGTGGACAGCAAAATGTACAATCTCACAGGATCGTATCGATAAAATCGATTCTTCATTCGAATCATTTAACGCGGTCTTAAGTTAACGATGAATTAAAAAACCAAAATGAAAATCGACATTTAAAAATGTACATCATCAGGAATGGCTGGTATATTGTTAGCTGTTTAGTTTCCAAGATCGACTATTTATGACAAGGATTAAATAATGTAGGCGTTAAGCTCTATAATATTAATATAAACATAGGATAATAAAACGTGATGCAATAAACGTTTTATTCACGTGCGTTTATGTATGCGGATAGAATATTGTTATAAATTAAATTAAATTTTAATGTGACACAATTGCGAACGCGACTCCTAGGAACTAATATTCATAGAACATCTTCAATGAAACAGAATTCTGCGGTTAATTAATATTACTCTTCGTTGTTTGATACGCGAATTAGTGGTAAAACTAAGAGGAATAGACAAATCGGAAAAAATACATAAGAATGGATTTATGTATTGGCTAAAATAGTTACTTTTAAGTTTTTAATATGTTGGAGACATGCAAATGACCCGCAATACAACCCGCCGGGTGTTGTATTCTACAGAACAAACCATCTTACTGTCTGCGCTGATAAAAACAACTTTCTATTCAATTACCTGAGCTTATCATTATCAAGATTTTTTCTTGTTGCCCAGTTCGAAGATAGCTGACTTTAGAACTAGATTCAGTTAGCATTTCATTTGTGACGATCTAAAAACGCCAGTAGTTGACAATACTCGTATTGATTATGATTGATTTATGAATGGACTGTGACTGACAGCGCAATCCACCGCCTTAACGGGTACGAACCGTAGGTATTCAATGATTTTAAGTTTTTGTCGAGTGCAGACCTCAGCTGTACCGGTTTGAGTGTAGATAAGTAATGTTTCTAACATTTAAGGCACTAAGCACGTGTATTTTTTTTTTAATTCGATCCTAATTTTTTTTGAACGAGTTCTATGGGACGATGCGGAGGGGTACCCTAACCGGGAAAAAACGTCCGTAACGTAAGATTTTATGTTTGTTACCTCATAACTTTTGACTAGGTGAATCGATTTTGATGATTCTTTTTTTATTAGAAAGCTGACGCTTTCCGTGTAGTTTTATTTCAATTTAGTCCAGTTCTGATAATGGTATCCATGAGAAAGCCATATAAGCCTTAAATTTGCATTAAGTACGTGCGCGACAAATAGATAACTCAATAACTCAATATCACACCAATCGATTTCGATGATTATTGTTTTTAGTGTATATTAATTTGTTTTGGAATCTCTTTTTTTTATCAATAAAAAAATCATAATAAAAAATGTATACCCGAATAATTATTTTCTTTATACCTCGAATAGAACTTAAAATCAATATTTTTATAATAAGGAACTTCGTTCCTATCCGGTGTCCCACGATACCACACATCCTTTTATTTAATAATCATTCAATTTCTATTTACAAACAAACTTTCTCCATTAACACTGCTAAGAAAAATTATAGCCTTCAACTTCACTTTCATTTAAATCCTATATTATTCGTTTATAACTAAGTGTTTTTTTATATATAATTATCCAAATAACAATATTAACTGTTCAACAGTTTCACCTTGGATTAGTCAATATCATAGACTGGCGATTAGATTGCCAAGTCTTGTTTCTACGCGGCGCTTCTTAAAAACACATTTATAAATGATAAAAACAGTGTAAAGTCGGTCGACCGTCACTACGAATCATTCCTACCTTTCCCGTATACATTGAGTCAAGTAGATCACACAGTTCCTGATGGCTATCGGTCGTCCTGTTGTTCTGTAACCAAGGGTTGCTGCTTACAATAAATCCTCGTCCATCCGCCAGAGTTTCAAGGTATTTACAGTCGATCGACCGAAACTGCAAAGTTAGCGTTGGTCCTAATGCAACGGTAACTAAGAGTTTAATTCTTACCCCTTCATTTTTGGCTTGTTGCGTGTGACTGCTATCGTAATCTTCATCGCTTTCTTCCTTTTTGAGTCGTTTCACGCTGACGTCTGTATCGCTACCGGACATTTTGCGTTTCGATTCAATGGACAGTTTCAGGCCAGCCTTAATAAGTTCCNGAAACTGCAAAGTTAGCGTTGGTCCTAATGCAACGGTAACTAAGAGTTTAATTCTTACCCCTTCATTTTTGGCTTGTTGCGTGTGACTGCTATCGTAATCTTCATCGCTTTCTTCCTTTTTGAGTCGTTTCACGCTGACGTCTGTATCGCTACCGGACATTTTGCGTTTCGATTCAATGGACAGTTTCAGGCCAGCCTTAATAAGTTCCGAGCACGTCTGAAAAATGAATGAAAAACGTTTTAATGTTACAATTCAATTAGAAATGCCGCGAAAAACAGAACTACAATGAGGTACATATCTAAAACCACGTTTACCCTCCAAAAATAATATTCCGCTAGTATTTTCTGTTTTAATTAACTCAAATGTCATATATATTTTTAAGAAAATCTTACATAAGTCTCTGTTATGCTAAATAATAAATCGTCATACTAGAAATCTTCTTAACACCGCTCCGCTATAATAAAATCACGGATATAAATGTAATTTTGAAGGAACCTCAACTGAATAATAATACATCCGAAGTTAATACCCATCGCTTCATAATAATTACATGTTTAAAGCGTTCAAATAAAACGTTGCAATAAATAAATCATCGACTACATAAAATCGGAGGTCCTCATAAACATTACGTAACATTGTAAACTATACCTGTTCCATTCTTGCATTATAAAAGCATAATGAGTGCGAATGCGTTCTATAAACTTTACAATTATATCCCGGTGAATTAATATGTGTGGGTCGTGCGTGTATTTTTTAATATCGTGATTCACGGTCACTTCACCTCGATGCGATGATTTCATCAAGGTCGTATAGAAGATGTACTACATTGCAAGTGTAGCGTTAGCGTTAACCACATGAAATAAATAAACGGACATAATAAACACAAAAAAAATATTACAAACTCATTAAAAATTACGTTTGACTGAAGTACAAGTAATAAATAAACTAAAATTTTATAACGAAGATATATCGTGGTAAACAAAATGCCATACTAAATTGTTGACGATATAAAGACACTAATAAAACCCGTTATGTTTAAATAAGATTCTAAAATGAGTATTTTCAAGAATTAGTAGTTTTTTGTTGATAAACTATAAAAGACTTTAAAAGTAGTAATAGGACTAAGATTTAATGGTAAAGTATGGCGATACGAAAATGCATAATTGCATTTTATCCAACTTTATTATTGAGAATTACTATAGTAAATTGTTCAATGTTGGAAAATATGTATCAATATTAAAATCTCATTCAAACATTTTTTCATTCAGAAACATTCAATTACGAATCACTCGAATGAATTATAAAACTTATTCGCACATAGATTGTAATTACAGATTATAATTTATGATTACTAACTTTGGTAATATTAACTACCTACACACATCTAGCCTTAAAATATCTTTTGCAGAACAGCGACGCGCTCCGCGGTTCAGTTTAGTGTAACTAAAAAAGGCATTTTTTTATGCCCGTGTAGGCAGACGAGCATACGGCCCACCTGATGGTGAGTGGTTACCGTCGCCCATGGACTTCAACAATGCCCGGGGGCAGAGCTAAGCCGCTGTCTACCGTTAAATACTCTCCACAATCCTTGTTTGAGGAAAGATATGTCATATCATATGGATAGGCATTTGAAAAATCAACCTCTCATCATTATCTGGATGCCATGCTTCATTGTGACAGTAAATGTAAGACCTAGATTGCTTTAATGATACATGGTATCAACGAAAAATCCATGAAACCATTAGTATTTGATATAAATAATTGAACTTCTAGAAGATACTAGGATAATCTTTGTACCTATTGTATATATCAATTTTTCGATTGCGTTCTCTCGCAGTTCGTCGATTTATAATAAGAACGTGACGAAGTATTGACTAAGTACCTAAATAGATAATTAAACCAGTAATTACAAAGTCTTGCCTCGTAGAACAGTTTCGCAGAAGATAGAAATTATTTCGTTCATCGATAAAACATTTTAATCTGATCAATATTATACTATAGCCAGTGTGGGTATAGAATTGAATGCCAAAATATTCGTTCTATTCAAAAGGCAGGTCGCTAATAATGCTAATTGAATGCGAGGTCACAGAAGCCTACTCATTAGATAGCTTTGCACGTTGAAAATATGTTTTGATTGCATGCGGCTTGCCAATTGTTGATCCGCAAATAATGCTAATCGTTTTAAAGAATGCAAAGATAGATAGAGGTTTACTCACGCAACTTAGTCTAGTATATTAGGTAAGACTACTAAAAAAAGACCAGCTTAGACTGCTGAAAAGTAATCATAAAAGTGGTTGTATAGGTAACTTTTTTGTGATTCATAATTTTTTCCTTAAAATGTCAATTTAAAATATTAAGTAACAAGAAATTGTTTTGACTTTGAATAAAGATATTTAATGAGTATTCATGAGTGTGTCTACTGATATCTGTAAATAATCAATAAGGAATTATTCATATTATTAACTAAATTGTTTGTTCAATGCCAATGTGCTTAAATAGACCCAACAAAAGCATTTAATGTTTTGAAACTACCCTTAGTTGCATATTCTTTTAAACGCACCCAAAGTTAGTCAAGTGCCTTCGTGCTACATAACACTTCGTTGTCTATCAGACGAGGTACGAATTCATGTGTTCTATCTATTCTCAGACGTTTTTGAATGAAGATAATTAAATTAGGCGTCTACCATAACACAGAGCGAAATCAGAACGGCCGTGAAGTTGTTTTTTACGAAACGTCATACAGTTTTGAGCGATGTCTTAATTTTTTTGTATCCAAATACATCTATTGTTGCTTTCTGAACAATGTACTAAGAGAGCAGTATGAAAAAAAACACTAATAGACTAAGCCTCGAACGTTTTTTGTGAAGGCATTATATAACTTTTTATAATAAATTCTGACCTCGGGTGATTATCAATATTTGAAGAAAATATTATTATGATGGTAAAAAGGTAATTATTGTAACTATTATTTCAATGAGTAAATAAACGAAGGCTTAATTTTAAAAGTTTATCGATTAATAAATTCATGTGTACCATGAATACTTTCAAAATGAGTTTGTCCTTATATGATTTTACCTTCTGTATGCTGGGCGGAGTGCTTGAAGACGGTGATGTGGCCGACGAGCCATTAGACATCGAAGAGTTGGAGTCATTTCCGCTTCCGTTCTGAAAAGACGTAGGGAAATGAGTTCGCTTTGGCCAAACGCAACCGTCTACTTCGATTATACTATTTATTACATAACCTTCACATCATTATCACCATAAGCAATATTATGTTTTATCTTTTTATTTAAAACTAGCTGACCCGGCAGACTTCGTAGTGCCTCAATCGATAAATAAAAGACCTAAACTTTTGCATAAAATAAACTTAAAACAAACGGAATCCGTCCGACGGGGGACACATCAAAGGAAAAACAAAATTGGTATTTTTATTTAATTCCGAGCATTTTCATTAATTTATCTACCTTTTAAACCTTCTCTGGACTTCCACAAATAATTCAAGACCAAAATTAGACAAATCGGTCTAGCCGTTCTCGAGTTTTAGCGAGACTAACGAACAGCAATTCATTTTTATATATATAAGAAGAAAGAAGATAAGAAGATGTATGTTAGATGAACTTACAGAGTCACCTGTTGATAAGCAAGTACTGAAGCCACGAACAAATCAAATTTATGTGTGGTCATCTCAATCCTCAAAACGGATTTGATTTATCAGGAAAGAGGCAAGAGGGTGGTACCTGTTTTTGTACATTTTACAAGATCTGCTAATCACCAAGACAACGAAGCTCTAACCGGGCTAAGCTCTTTTGTTAATTCCACTTCACATATACGACAACCGAACTCACATGTCTCTGTATGTACCTTTTTTTTTCTTTTTCTTACATGAGTGGACGAGCTCACAGCCCACCTGGTGTTAAGTGGTTACTGGAGCCCATAGACATCTACAACGTAGACGCGCCACCCACCTTGAGATACAAGTTCTAAAGTCTCAGTATAGTTACTATGGCTGCCCCACCCTTCAAACCGAAACGCATTACTGCTTCACGGCAGAAATAGGCAGGGCGGTGGTACCTATCCGCGCGGACACACAAGTGATCCTCCCACTAGTAAAATGTATGTAGTACCTCATAATATGTCAGTGCACTTTTCCATAGATATGTCGAATAACTAACTGAGTATTAAAAGCGTTCAACTAAATTACTTCCCGTAACAGTCTGGTGATCACTAGTCGCATTGGGCTTTTCTAATTTATAGCACAATTATACAATTAGCCGTACATGACCCATTGTTTTCTTTCCGCTCCGGATTGTTTAGTATGCAACAAATATATATATTCTAGTTAACAATGAAGGGCAATGACAAATTAACTTTTGCATGTGTGGGAATTCATTTCTCTCTTTTGATATATTAAATCGAGAAACTTTAACAGCGAATATAAATAAATTTCGTCAAATGCGCGAACAACTATCCTGCAATGTACAATTTGTATTTTGTTCAAACTTATTGACAGTAAAATAAAAAATATATTTAAAGTATTTTTTATTATTAAAATGTTAATTTCGAAAAGAAAATGAAAATGCCGAGGGAACTAGGTATCGATTAACTTCTAATTAGCAGATGCCGCACAATATTTCTAAAAGTGATCCAACACCTAAATTCAGCCTTGACGTTTTTCCTGAGAAAACTGGATTAAATCGTGTCTGTCCAGATCACTGTGTACATGTAGGGCTACCCGCATAGACTGGTTAGATACAAGTGAAAAAAATTAAACAAAAATTAAAATTTACTACAGACCTTAAAGTACCAACCTTTCGCTTTTCATGTATTTCTACAGTAAATCACAAATCTAATCATAGTCAGTCCAGTATGCGTTAGTCAAGTACTTTAAGTGTGAAGTCATAATCTCATAAAATTAAATAAAACTATTAAAACATGATCACGAGGTAGGTACTGTGAAAATATAATATCTAACGCAAATACATTTTCAAAAGCTCAGTAGCTGACAGCCACGAATTGCGCGGGAGTATTTAAAACTAAAATTCGGCAACCCTGATTTTACTCATCAGCCGTCGATAAGACAGATAGTGTTGTAACTAAATATAGATAACCAGATATCAAGTGTTGCGGCGCCGACGAGTCTAGCTCTCTCGTGTAAATCGACTGCAATAGGTGCATGACCTCATGTTGCTTACCCATCGGCTGTACTAATTTAAAACTCAGCAAACAGCTAACGCGTAATGTACAAGAATAATAAAAGAATCGAAGATTTTACTTTAAGATTCAAATCAAGAAATCATAATGATCGACGATATAAATTTATTCAGCTAGTAGTATTCTTTCGAAGAACAGCCAGGTCGTTGGAACGATCACAAAGGTTAAGCCTGATCTGGAAGTTAAGCAGTGCAAATACCCCAATTATTACAATTCACTGGGCGTGTTGTGAGCCCACGCGGGTAGGTACGACCACCCCGCCTATTTCTGTCGTGAAGCAATTAACGCGTTTCGATTCGAATAGTTGAGCAGCCGTTTTACTAAAAACTGGGACTTAGGACTCGTACCTCAAGGTCGCGTTTACGTTGTTGATGATTGATCTATGGGCTCCGGTAACATATAACACCAGGAGAGCCGTGAGGACGTCAGCACAACAACAACAAAAAAATCTGTTATGTTTTTTGCATACATTGTCCCAATTGTCATGATGACAGCAAAAGTATTATCCAATGATTATATGGGGGAAGGGATCACGTGGTCGGGTTATGTGGTTTCAATGTTGGCAACAGCTCAAAATACCTGTAACGCTTATTTACATTCTAGACGAGGTTGGATGTGACCTAAGCGCGGGAAGGATGCAACGCATTGCGATTGCGTACTGTTCTAAGAATCGACAATGAGAAGCGATTGAAGTTATTTATTTACTGACCGATTAAATTATTAGTTAGCGTTTAGATCACCCTAAATCGATCTGTACAAAGAAAGACATACAACATCATACATACATACAAACAAATACAAATTTTTAGGCTTCTGAAAATTTAAGTGTTTAATTTAATTTTGAGTTCTTAGTTCTATTTTTATTGTCACCGAAGACAGGCTCTCTCGATCCAACTCAAACTAAATTTACTAACGAAATTTAGTCACTCGTGAGCATCGACAATGTTACTACTGCATTACATTTTTAATTTGGTATGTGTACAAAAAAATATATTTATAACTTGGATTTAAAAAACGAAAATCTTCCACCACAGATAATTTAGTTATTATTTTGAAAAAATTATTTTAAACGCAGACACTTTAATACCAATATAATTTGAATTAAGAAACTTTAGTCCCATTTTTTGTACTCTAATTTTTTGACGCTACTCTTCACTACATAGTATAAAACAAAGTCGCTTTCTCTGTCCCTACTATATCCCTATGTATGCTTAAATCTTTAAAACTACGCAACGGATTTTGATGTGTTTTTTTTAATAGATAGAGGAAAGTTTATATGTATAATAACATCCATTAAATAGTGGAGAAATCAATAATAAATTACAGTTTCCGAAGCGAAGCGAGGGCTGGTCGCTAGTTGCAAATAAATTTAATTACTAATTAATTACCTTGAAACTGGAATTCTTTTCGTAATTATACTGGTCCAGGGGGTTTGTCATGGTGATGACATCGTTTACAATCTCCGGCGTACGAAGCGTAGTATTTGTTCCCTCGGCGGTCAGCATGTTTATCATAGCAGCACTTAGATTCACATTAACACTCAAATTGTATGTTCCACTTTCTCCGTCAGATCCTAAAGCAACCGGCGATGGCGAAGTATCCTCACATTTAATTGTCGGTATAGTAGAGCTCATGCTCGTTGCGTTCATTATATCCTTGTAAGGAGCCAGTTTTGTTGCTTTTTATTTATTTATTTTGGTAACTTTTCAAACAAAATTATTGGTACTAACACTTTAGACTAAGTCTAAATATCACGGGTAAACACTATCACTAGATCACTGTCTGGTAAACTGGGTACGAATGGCACTTGAAAGTCTCCTCTAACAGAAGTCTTCACGGGTAACTTTTGTAATTGGACCTGTAACAAAAAAATAAAACGATCATGAATCAAAATAATGAAACAGTTGTGTGACGGTTTCGTTATTGTAGTAACTAAAGGCAGTGGACGTCCCGTTGGCATCAGATGGATCTGAGACGCCCTACGGATTTACCGAAGCGACCAAATTTTTAATTATACCCGTCGAAAAATCCCGGCCCCACAGCCAGGATGCTGCTCCAATAAAACGCTTTTTACAGTTCCCAATTGAATGCTGGCCATAAAATTCAAACTACGCGCTTTTTTTGTTTACGGCTTAATTTTAACGCTCTTCCGTGTAACGCGTCTATTGTTCGCGGTTCGTGAACGGGCGCGGTATCGTCGGGAATTAACTCGACCGAATGCAAGGACGTACATGGATTAGTCAATTAACGTGCTCTCCGACATAGATGTAGATACTAGACAACATTATATGGAAATTGAAGTGTGAAGCCGCATAATTAGGCCATGCCTATGACAGCATTATATTCGAATTTCGAATCAAACAGGAGCCTATTGTGTCAGATCCGTGTAAACGGGCGGAGTCGAAAGCTGGTATGCGCCTTGACCTGGCCTCTATCTACGAGTGTATCTCATATCTGTCGCACGTAAACACAATAAAGCACGGAGCCTGTGTAACCTAGATACTGCGGTTTTACTCATTCTAGTCGCGAAGCCCGAGGAAAATGCGCCACGAAGTAATAAATATTTGTCAGAAATGAACAACAGCCAAGGTCAAATATATTGTGTTCTTCGTACGTATTTAATATATTGGGAAAATAATATGCACACAGACAGAGTGGGTAAACCGCAACATGTATTGTTTTCGAATACATAATTTTATCAGTAATAATAATAAGTAAATTACTTATGACGCCGCGCCGTTAGTATTAAGCAGAAACAGTTAATGATTCAAAATTTTGAGGAGCAAAATTCAATCACACTATATTTTTTTTTTGAATAACGATAATAACTGTGATCCTAGGACACAAGAATACGTTTTCCTTTTTTCAGTAAGCTTTATAAAGCTTAAAACTATACATACATACATCTCCGACTTTGAATGTCATTAACTCATTAGTAATACACAAATAATTGTGTATGAATGATTATTCTTATTTTTTTAGGCGCACCGCACCCATTTCAAGCATCTTACCGCACATGTGAAATATTTTACGTAACGTTAAATCTCTGACACATCGGTAGACGGTTGCTTGAAGAACAAGTGAAACACATGTGGGCAAACACGCTGCGCCTTATTGACGATTTTCATATTATAAACATCAACATTTAAAGGTTAAAATAATTAAATCAACAAGATTACACATATAGCGGTAGGTGCACTTTCTTGCAATAATATCTGTTCTAGATTTGTTTGAATGAAGCTATGACATTGTCGACGTGGGTTTAAATAGCTACGGAATTCCTTATATATTGAATATGCCAATTAAGTTTGGACATAATTATGCAAAGATATTTTAGTTAAACAAGAACGTAAATGAAAATTATTACTATTTATTAATAGGACTAAAGAGCAGATCGCGTCCTAATATCTTACAGGACAAGAGTTTAACAATAGTTAAATAGTTTTTAATCAGAGATTTACCTTGATAACATTCCGAGTAATCTGCTGCAAATTAATCCATGTGTCGATCTTTTTTTTGCTCTAAGATAAACAGTTTCGTGTATAGTAAAAGTACAGCATTGATTTTAAATATTAAATTTTAACAAGCTAGATTTTTCCTGGCATTCTCTGATTTAACTGCAACCATTTCGTATTAGGACGTCCGCAAGTCGACCCAAAACGGGAAAATAAATATACCTACGTAGTATGTTGTATCCGCTGTGCCTTGCGTGGGATCTACCTTAGGTGTTGCCAAATTGAAATTTATAATAGCGTCGAACCAATTTATTTCGTTTTCATAAAAAGGCAAATATCGTAAATACCGAATACCCACGCTCATTTTTATACTTAAAGGTTTGTCTTGGATATGTTTTTTGGATTTATCTAATATATAAAATTCTCGTGTCACAATGTTCGTTCCCATACTCCTCCGAAACCGCTTGACCGATTCTCATGAAATTTTTTATGCATATTCAGTAAGCCTGAGAATCGGCTACTATCTATTTTTCATACCCTAAGTGATAAGGGTTGTCCACCCCTAAGAATTATTTTTTTATTTTTTGGACAATTTTTTTTTTGTTATAATGAGACATTATGTGGTTGAATGAGGTATTGTTATTTTTATATTCCTTCATCGTCCACAGCGCTACATGCCTCTTTCACTCATCTACCACATCCTTACACACTTACAATAAGTTAGTTTTTTTTTCTACACTAGAAATTCCCTAGAAATCTTATATATGGCAAAACAACGTTTGCCGGGTCAGCTAGTTATCCAAAAAATATTTCGATGGCTCAACGTTCTATACAACTTCATATAAGTGCATATTTTCTTCTTTGACACAAAAACATGTACATATGTTAATAAAAAAAGCTGCACCTTTATGATGCTATAAAACATATGTACACACTTTAAACTACGGCAGAAACCCACATCTTAAATTCCTTAAACGCATTCATAAAGAAAATTTAATATGCACATTCATTGTGAAGTCGGAGTTATGAATTGAGATGCTTTCTCGAAAGTTTTATTACGGTTTTTCCCTCTTCCTCAAATCATAAATGATGGAAGAGTGAAAGGGAAGGATGAAAAAAATGTTAAGTGAGCACAAGGGGTCAAGTGACATAGAATTGAAGGAGTATACAAAGGCACACGAAAACGAGTCGTTACGCCTTTTTGTTATTGAAGTGATGTGAAATGGGTGACCTAGTTTCGACCGCACCCGCTGTGTAATAACGTTTTATGTGCCTAGTTAATAGCGTTTTTCTAAGTAAATTTGTTCATGATTATCGTAATTTATATAACATTGCTTTAAACTTAGCTAAAGGCACAAAAAATAAGTTTTTTTTCATTTACTTATTCATAGTTGCTATTTCGATTATTCAGGATTTAGCTGCTTATAAAACTCACGACAGTCTACTTTTTGGTCTGCTGATCAATTTTAATCCCTGAAACTCATGAATTTAAGGTATATTCTAGGTATAGTGATGAAATCCCTGGAATTAATTAGTAAAAAACGCTCGAATCCGTAATCTTTTGATAATAAATTGTTATTTGGGATAACCGTGCACTTGTGAAACCCACAAAATTGCTACATTGGTCCTAAAAAATAAACCACATATTTATGACCTTGGTATTTTACAATTTTCAAACTTGAATTTTACTTGATAATATGTATGTATCAGTTGAGGATATTTTCGATAAAAACTATTTCTTATATTTCAATTAATAATATTACTAAGTAGCTTCATTAAATTTTCCAAATGCATGTAAATGTTAGTAAATATAGAAAAAATATTAGAAAACATAAATGTCAAGCCCGCTCACATTGTTTCGCCGGTTATCAAGGCTGACATTATTTTATAAGAGTCGTCATGGCTAGGAATGTATTTGAACTTCAGATTTTAAATATGGAACCAATAAAGGAATCAATTGAAGGAACGAGGACCGACATAAACCAAAAAACTTAAAAAAAGAATAGTAATAAAATTTGAACGTGTTAAGATATTTATAGATTAAAGAAGATATAGAATATATGAATAATGAAAAAAGCTAATTTTGTGAAACGAGGCAGATCATTTTCATATTTGAATTCAACAACAATAAATTATTTCATAATATTGATCGTGTACAAAACGCAACACGATCCAACGCAGAGATACGGAAACGCGGAAACAAAATGATTAATAGTCTATTCAGCGACGATACCAAGGAAGCAATCTATAAAATTATAATGTATATATTAATACGTGCAAAGCAAAAACTTTGTATCCCTTTTTACAAAAATTGCGCGGACGGAGGAGTATGAAATTTGTCACACTTATAGAGAATATAGAGAAGAAGTGCAAAACGCTAATATTTTCTTAAAATAAGGCATAAAAGATACATTAAATCAATAAAGAAAACATTACTCACACTACCATGTATTTGACACATACACATATGTATACTCTTTGCTTATTGTCAAACTTTTATTATTGCTTAAAGTCTGTAGTCAAATTGAAAATAAGTTAGTATTGTTTATCTTTAATATTACGAGTAATTGTCTATAGTGTAGTCTTGGCGAAATTTGTAACAATAGGACCATAGTACATGCGGGACCACTAGTAATGTACAAAAATTTGTGAAAGATTAATGTAACGTGAATGAACAGTTTTATAATAACGTAGGGGATACCGTGTACAATACAAGCCTCTCATTGTTATTCACTGTGCCGAGAAGGACGTAATTTTTAACACCGCCATGTTCGGAATTAAAAAAACAATGCAGCCAACGTTTATTTACGAACGGAAACAACAAATTTCAATTCAGATTACGTTTTTACGGAATCTTTTGACGGTCAAATTGTGTTTTTAGCGGTTACGATTTTTTTTTAGTGCTCTTTATTATTATTATTATTGTTTATTATTCGATTCCCATTAAAGTTTTTTTTTCATCGTACATTTATCGACGGTAAAGCGCATTCCAAATCTGATTATATCTAGTGCTGTAATTTAAGCTCACAGACAATGTTAATGTCACGATCGTTCTTCAAGCCCACTGAGTTACTCGCCGGATCTTCTCAGTGGGTCGCGTTTCCGATCCGGTGGTAGATTCTGCGAAGCACTGCTCTTGCTAGGGTCAGTGTTAACTTCACTCCGGTTTGAGCCCCGAGAGCTCACCTACCAGTTAAGGTTACGCTGAAATAGCCACTCAAGGCTATCAGCTTAGGTAGGGAAAAAAAAGACCTTGATATTCGACCCTACACCATTTGTCAAATGGTGGTAAAACTGGAATAAGGCAATACACGTTTCCAATACACCCTAGACTTTGCACACTGGGACTGATTGATTACTTTATCAATTAATTTTCAATAACCTCAATATCTCACTCAACAAT